TATATTTTATTATTAATTTATATAAAAATAAAAAAGATAACAATACACTGTTAGTATTTATTTTTATTGCATATATTTAAAAAAATTCTTTTTATTTTTAGCAATACAAACAAAGCCAAAACTGTGTAAGTAAATTTTATTTTTGTTATGACAATCGCCCTTCCACTGCAAACAAAGCCAATGTTGCTTTGCTGTTTAAATCATACGGCATACCGTATACCGGCGTAATTAGCCCCTCCAAAAAAAAAAAAAAAATTTGTTCTAAAGAGCCGAATTCAAAGAGCAAAGCAAATCGAGAAAAGACATCATCATACAGCTCGTCGCCCACTTTCTCATGCTCTGGCCCATTTTGTTCTCTGATAACCGTAAAGAAGCTAACTTTCTTATCTTTCTGGAACGGGTGGAAAATGAAATTAAAAAGGAAATAAAATAAAAGGTATTAGGGTCTCCATTACATAAAATGATAAAAGAAGACCCACAATAACATTTATAATCAAGAGCTGAAAGAAATAGATAGTAATTGTCTAAAACTATATTTAAATAATTTTAATAAATCAATATCAAATAAAAAAATATTTTAAATAATTTTAAAATTTTAAATATAAAGATGATTTTATTTTCACCTTTTTTTCAAATAAATAAATAAATCCCTAATCCAGAGAATTGAAAGCCTAAATATTGTTCATGAAAATTTTGTTCGAGTTGGAGGAAGTGGAGGTGGAGAAAGAACTAATTGTCGTTCAGTTAATTTTGCAACGTCTTCTTTTGATAGGACAAAAAAACCTCATTTTTCTTATCCTGAACTCACTGTAAGTCATTTTATTCTATAGCTATATAATTTACCTCAATTTAAGTGAAGAGGAGGTTTATGAAGCTAAGCAAGAGCCTCGGACACTGGGATTTTGGAAAAGGAAATCATTTACGCAGGTCCCTAATCCTGGAACCTGTTATATACAATCAGAAACTTCTGTATTCGTCTTCTGTCATTACACCAATTTCAGAAAACCATAATCTGTACGATGCTTGCAATCTAACATCAATCAAAAAAGGTCTGGAAAACAGTAATGTTCACTTGTTTACAGTACGTATTTCTACTTTCTACAACTGCATTCGGGAATAAACCTGTAGCCTGAGAAAGTATGCTACAATAATGTCTTTGTAAGTTTGTTTTTTTTTTTTTTGAACTGAATGTCTTTATAAGTTTTAACTAGAGGAAAGAAAGAGGACACCAGTGCACAAGAAAAGCTATAGAAAAGAGAACCTGAAACAGTGAAACTTGCACGTTAATATCAGGTTTATATACAGTACAGACTTGAGGGGAAAAAGAATCAGTGAACACTCTTATGCAGTTATGCTTGATTTCAATTTCCCCCTTTTCATACAATTAGAAATACTCAACAAAGAGATCCAAACCTATTCAAAATCTTGACAAAAAAACAGAGAAAACAAAAATCCAGAGTCATGAAACGAAAGTTTAAAGATCAAAATGCAAAAATTAAGATGTAGTAACCCCCACAACCTTACCAGGGACTATAATGCAGTTTATCGATGGCGGAATGGGCATGAAATTGTTCCACACTAGAGAAAAATTACCAGGTGGAAACTTGGATCAAATCAAAGCTAAACCCATCAGCGCCAAGAAGAAACTGTGAAAAGTGGCACCTTGTTCCACGCTAAAGAGAGAAAGCCAGGTTGAGATTCAATCAGTGAATACCGAGAACAGTAATTGTAGTTCCACAGAAGGATTTTAGCCTGGCTGACTGCGTAATGGCTGAGGGGCACGGATTCAAAACCTGAATTTTCCATTAAGAGCTTCCATTCTTCTGTTTCCTCCATGCGTTCCCTTCTGGTTTCCGGTGCCTCTGGTCCAATTACGCTGGCGATTCTGCGGCCGAGCAATAGTCTCTCCACTTGAAGTCTATCAGGTGAGTCACGGGTCAAGTTTGGCTCCAGGGATTCAAACAGTGCAGAGTAGTACCTCAAGGCGTTCTTGAATCGGTGGAAATATCCGACCCGGTTTAGACCCGCTTCATACTCACCTAGAGTCACGATTTCCGCGTTCAACGACTTGGCCAACCGGAGAGCCGTCTCCACCGCCGCTGAAGTCTCATCGAGCAAATTGTATAATTGAAGCATGAAGTTGACAGCCAGTACCTCGTCTTGCTCAACCCGGAAAAAAGACCCATTAAGCTCCTGGATTGGAGTGAGAACTGGTTCGAACTCGAAATTCAAATCTAGAAGCTTCGCGAAATCTCGGAGACGGTTGCCAGTAGCATACAGAGACGCTGCCGGAGATTTTCCAAGAGCAGGCGCGGGTATTCCCGTGATCCGAATTTGGAGCGGTTTGCCGGTGGACCTAGTCGCTAGAGCTTGCAGAAGGGCCGCCCATTGAACCCCCTGAACAATCCCGAAATCCACTATGTGAATCTTGCTAGCACGCTCTGTAGCTTCGAGTATTGCTTGATTCGCCGTCAAATGAGCGAACTTCAAGTAGGGGCAAGCATCGTTTAGTGCTTTGTAACTGAGAGTGAAATCCTCCGCCGTCGTCTCTAGCATCGTCGGTCTTTTCTCCGCTTGTAGGGAGACTCTACTGTAGAGTGCTTCAGCGAAGTAAAAAGCCACCCTCTCGGTTGGATCTCCGCATTCCGATACCGATTCCCTGAGTCGAATCAGCGTTTTAACGGAACGGTCTGGTTCTGACTCAGCAAGCCGAGCACACTCGAGTAGATCTCTCAGTAGCGGCCGTGCTGACTTGGTTTCTGGGGAACCAGGGGACAACATATCGTCCTCATTTTTTGGTAGGTTCTGAGTCGTAGCATCGTTCGGCTTCGTCTCTTTAAGCACCACCTGCGGTGGCGCCGGCGGTGGTGGTGAGGTCCACGCTGGGAGAGCGCTCGCAGTCTTCTGGGTGTCTGGTGAGAAGATGACTCGGTTGAGATCAGACGGTGGAGAGCACGCCACACTGATTCGAGTCGTCGGGCAGGTAGCAAACGGATCAGGACCGTAGAGTCCAAAATCCGGGTTGTTTTGCCAGGCATCGGACGGCAGATTGGAACTGTCCGCTGAATCTCCAGCGTTCATTAAACTATCCATCCACTCATCCGTGTCAAACTCAGCACCAGCACCACCGCCCAGGTCCGGAAACCGAAACCCACCGGAATGATGGTCCATCCCAGGAAAGGGAAACCCCTCGCCAGTATCTCCTTGAAATGGGTCCGGAAAACCAGAACCCGGAAGCCCGTAAGCCAGACTGGTGGAATTAGAGACAGTGTGCTGAATACTAGTCCACGGATTCAGAGAAAACGAGGTCAGGCCGAGGAGCTGCTGTTGTTGGTGGTGCTGTTGTTGCTGCTCCTGCTGTTGCTTTTGCTTTATGACTTGTTGAGCGATTGCCATTAAGTTTCCACTGTCTGCGCACATATATGCCATTCTCCGGCCAAGCTCCGCCGGAAAACCGAAAACTGCGCTCACATTACCCAAAAAAATAAGGAAACGAAGCAAATCTAGCGAACCCACAAGATCAAATCCCGTAAAGGGTATTAATTTTTAAAGAAGAGAAAGAGAGAGAGAGTACGTACGAAGATTGGAGGCCAAGAAATACCGGGATCACAAGCTACGCGACCTGGATTTTGCTCAAGCTAGAGAGAGAAAACGGAGATTTTCAGAAGGATAGCTTTAAAGAGATGAGTAATAAACGGCAGGGCGAAGACAAACACCGAGTAAACAAAGCCCTCCAAATGAAAATTTGGGACCCACTTTTCTGCATCAGATTAAATAAAGCCAAAATTAAAATATTAAAAAAATTAAGAACCTAAAATTTTAAAAAAAAAACCTCGAATTAATAACCAATTTGAACGTTAAAATTATTAAAATAAAGGTAAAAATCTTTTTTAATCCCGTAAACTTACCCAAAATAACATTTAAATCCTTAAATTAAAAACAAAGCAGATAAACTCTTTAATGATACAAATAAATATTTTTCATTCATAAGTATTCATGCTTTCAAGGTCATATTAAATATAAAATACCATTTGATCCAATTGTGAAATAGACTCATTTGCATAGTTGTAAAGTTAGAGTGTTTATTTTTAGTTTAAAGATTTAAATAATATTTTAAGATAAGTTTAGGGGTTTAGGGGTTTAGGAAGGATTTTTATCTAAAATAAGTATTAATATTTTAAATATAAAATTTTAAAAATTTTATTTAAATAGTTTTAATAAAATTTTTTATATGCTCTAGTAATTTATTTAAAATACTTTAAATTTTCATTATTAATACATCAAAACCTCTGAATTTTTTTTATATCAATTAGTAAAATAATTTTAGTAATAAAACTCTTTATATGTCCTTGGTTAAAGTGCAATTCGGACGAAAACATGGTGACGTGGAATTCTTCTTCTTTTTTTTTTTTAAAGAATACAATCTCCCTATTTTACCCTTGAACCCCTAAAGGCTCAAGCCTAAAACCCTTTCTTTTTTTAAATTTGGGCGAAGGCTAAAGCCTCCTTAAATGGGCTTGCAATTGTCTTTGATGAGGTGATGAGATGAGACTCGAGAGAGTCCTCGAGGCGATGGAAATAACATTATGTTACAACGCACACCAAATTGAAGTTAAAAAATGAAGGCAAAATTTTAAAGTGCTGCTGGAACTTGACAGCCGCAACCCCCAGGCCCTTACCTTAGACACAAAAAAATAAATAATAAATTAAATTTATTGACAAATAAATTTTTTTTATAAATTAATTTAAAATTTTATATTTTTTAAATATATTAAATTAACATGAAAAATATATTTTTATAATCATTATAGAAGAAAGTAATATTAAAGTAGATAAAAATTAAAATGTTTACAGCTGCAACCCACAAGGCCTTACCTTGGACACCAAGAGCCAACACGGTGATGTGCATTAAATTTAAGGGAAACTGTTCTTGAATGTTCAATCAACTAGAATGCAGTTTAATTGAATAAATTGTTCAATCAACTAGGTTCTCTCCTGGACTTGAAGCACGAGGTGATCAATTTTTTCTGGAAAATCAATGACACTCCTCAACAACACACTTCCAGCAAACTTCGAGAAACAACAAATTTCCCCGAGAGTCACTAATCAAACGCAGCCTCAAGATGTGTTTGATATCAATCTTTTATGAGAATGTCCATAAATGTATGTGTATGTGGCAGAAATTGCTTCTCACGTTTGGTGGTGTTCATTTCTTGAGAAATTGCGTTTCCCTTGAATTCGTTTGCCTTCACCTACAATCCATCTCCAAGTCCATGCCTCCGTGGATGAGATATACGAAGGAATGTTTGGTTTTGAATTTTGAAAATAGTTATTAACAGCTAAGATTAATAGATTAAATTAAATATTTTAAATTATAAATAATAATTATTATATTTTAATTGACTAATTCAACAAATTTTAATAAAAATAAGTTTTTTTTTTTCTTTTTGTATGATACATAAAAAATGACGCATGAGTGACTTAGTGCAATTAATTCTGTTACTAACAATAATTTGTT